CAACGCCCACATCACTCTGAGCGATGTGCTCCTCGTCCGCGGTGCTTTCACTTACTATCGGGGTCACAACCGATGGAATGCGGAGTGTAGCTTCGCACCGACCTACAAACGCACGACATCCTCCTTCATTTCGTGCCTCATAACAAACCGCGAAAACACCTTGGTCGAGCGCGCACAAACAACGACGTGTACGTGCTCGACTTTGACATCCCGGACTGTAGCGACGGCAAGGACGATTTGATCGACATTGTCCCTCACCACTTCGAATACGTCCAACGGTCTCAGTAGAAGCACCCAACGGCAGACCTTCGGTGCCACACCATCAGCATGTTCGCGAGACAGATCTGCACAACCGCGGCTTTAACGAAATATGCAGGGACTGTAGCACCCCCACCACCTCAAGCAACATGATTGCCGGCACTAAATTAGATGACATCCAAGAAGCTGGGCGACTCGCGCCGCGTGATGAAGGCATGTCAAAGCTGGAGCTTGCGACCACCACCTACAGGGTGTTTGACGCACGCAAATCCCCGCTTCTCAGACCCGCTCGCGAGCGACTCCAACGGATCCTGCAAAGCGAGTTGCGAGGCACCTACGACGATGCAGGAGAGTCGCGCCCCCGCACCATGTCGATCACATTTAGGGGTCTCTGCACTCACAGACGTGCTCTTCAGACCAAAGAAAAATTCTCGTTCTGGACGTGCTCAAGCAAGGAGGCGTGCGACCAGTAGGGCAGCACGGAGGGAAGGCAGTGCGGCGAGCAGGCACTAGGGTAGGTCGGGGCGGCGCACGGTCAGGGAAGAGCGGCGCGCGGCCAGAGTAGGGCGGCGCGCTGCAGGCAGGGTCGGCGCGCGGCCAGCAGGGCGGCGCGCGGGCAGGCAGGAGCGGCACCTAGGACTCGCTGGGCGCTGGGCAGCAGGGCGCGCGGGCGCGCTGGGCAGCGGGGCGCGCTGGCGCGCTGGGCAGCGGGGCGCGCAGGCGCACTGGGCAGCGGGGCGCGCTGGCGCGCTGGGCAGCGGGGCGCGCTGGCGCGTCTGGCAGCAGGACGCGCTAGCGCGGTGGGCAGCAGGGCGCGCTGGTGCGCTGGGCAGCGGGGCGCGCTGGCGCACTGGGCAGCGGGGCGCGCTGGCGCGCTGGGCAGCAGGGGCGGCGCGCGGGCTGCAGGGGCGACGCGCGAGCTGCAGGGGCGGCGCGCGGGCGGCAGGGGCGGCACGCGGGCTGCAAAGGGCGACGCGCTGGCTGCAGGGGCGGCGCGCGGGCTGCAGGGGCGGCGCTCGGGCTACAGGGGCGGCGCGACGGGGGGCAGGGCAGGGCGTGCTCGGGGCAGCGCGACGTGGGGCAGGGCAGGGCGTGCGCGGGGCAGCGCGACGTGGGGCAGGGCAGGGCGTGCACGCGGCAGCGCGACGCGGGGCAGGGCAGGGCGTGCGCAGAGCGGCGCGACGCGGGGCAGGGCAGGGCGTGCGCGGGCAGCGCGACGCAGGGCAGGGCGTGCTCGGGCAGCGCGACGCAGAGCAAGGCGTGCGCGGGGCGGCGCAACACAGGGCAGGGCAGAGCGCGCGTTAGGCAGCCCAACGCAGGGCAGGGCAAGGTAGCACGGCAGCCAGCAGGGCGGCGCGCGGGCAGGGTAACGCGACTGGTGGGGCAGCGCGACGAACACGGTAGGGCGTTACTGGCAGGGTAACGCGCTACGGGCAGGGAACGATTCGGTGGGCCCTAAAAAAACGGTCCTAGGTCAGGACCTGCTCTGAAACCATGTTAGAATAATGAACGAGAATGGATGAACTAGCAGCATGCATGAGTACAAGTAGCAAACCCTAATTGGGTTATATCCCATATGGGCTACCCCACTACAGCCTGCACAACATGCAACATATAAGTTTGACATGCTTCACTCCTGCACCATTTCCATCACATATAGGGGTTCGTGCACTCACAAACTTGCCCTTCCTACCGAAGGAAAATGCTCGTTCTGGCCGTCGGTAGCACGAAACGCGGAAAACAAACGCACAGGTATAGAAAGTGAAGCAGGCAACATTCGGTCGTGGGTACCCATGACCAATCGTGCTTGCTTCACTCCCGCACCATTTCCATCACATTTAGGGGTCCGTGCAATCACAAACGTGCTCTTCATACCAAAGAAAAACGCTCGTTCTGGCCGTCGGTAGCGCCAAACGCGGAAAATCCCGCACCGGTATAGGAAGTGAAGCAGGCAACTTTCGGTCGTGGGTACCCATGACCAATCGTGCTTTCTTCACTCCCGCACCCTTTCCATTACATGTAGGGGTCCGTGCACTCACAAACGTGCTCTTCATACCAAAGAAAAACGTTCGTTCTGGTCGTCGGTAGCGCCAATCGCGGAAAAAACCGCACCGGTATAGAAAGTGAAGCAGGCAACTTTCGGTTGTGGGTACCCATGACCAATCGTGCTTGCTTCACTCTTGCACCCTTTCCATCACATTAAGGGGTCCGTGCACTCACAAACTTGCCCTTCCTACCGAAGAAGAATGCTCGTTCTGGCCGTCGGTAGCACGAAACGCGGAAAAAAATGGACAGGTATGGAAAGTGAAGCAGGCAACTTTCGGCCGTGGGTACCCATGACGAATCATGCTTGCTTCACTCCCACACTATTACCATCACATTTACAGGTCCGTGCAATCACAAACGTGCTCTTCATACCAAAGAAAAATGCTCGTTCTGGCTGTCGGTAGCGCCAAACGCGGAAAAAACCGCACCGGTATAGAAAGTGAAGGAGGCAACCTTCGGTCGTGGATACCCATGACCAATCATGGTAATGCGAATGGTAATGGTAATGGTACTGCTAATGGTAATGGTAATGCTAATGGTAATGCTAATGGTAATGCTAATGGTAATGATAATGCTAACGGTAATGGTAATGGTAGTGCTAATGTTAATGATAATGGGAATGGTAATACTGATGACAATGCAAATGGTAATGGTAATGGTAATGGTAGTGATAATGGTAATGCTAATGGTTATGGTAATGGTACCGCTAATAGTAATGGTAATGGTAATGGTAATGGTAATGCTAATGCTAATGCTAATGGCAGTGCTAATGTTAATGGTAATGGTAATAATAATGGTAATGGTAATGGTAATGGTAATGGCAGTGCTAATGGCAATGGTAATGGTAATGCTAATGGTAATGGTAACGGTAGTGCTAATGCTAATGCTAATGGTAATGGTAATGGTAATGGTAATGGTAATGGCAATGCTAATGGAAATTCTAATGGCAGTGTTAATGGTAATGCTAATGGCAGTGCTAATGGCAATGGTAATGCTAATGCTAATGGTAATGCTTATGGTAATGGTAATGGTAATGGTAATGGTAGTGCTAATGGTAATGGTAATGATATTGGTAATGGTAATGGTAATCGTAATGGACATGGTACTGGTATTGGTAGTGGTAATGGTATGGTACTGGTAATAATAATGGTAATCAGGGCCTACGATATCAGGATAAAACATCCTGATACCCTGATTTTCAGGGTGTGCTTAGGGGCTATGCCCTGAAATTTCAGGATAGGGTTGATTTTCACCCTGTAAATTTAGGATGGTTGTGCAGGACATGCCCTGAAATTTCAGAATGCGCATGATTCTTTGCCCTGAAACGTCATTATGCGTGTCTAGGAGAGCCATAACCAGAATACCGGTACCGTACTACCCTTGATTGAAATTTCAAGAGAGGGGGGTTGAGGTGCAGAGGAGGCATACCAACAAGCTCCTCTACGTTTTTTCCTAGCCTGGCCAGAGTTTGCACGTGGGTCCCTGCAGGGGAAGCCACTTTGCTGTAGGGCGCTGCATCCCACAATCATCTGCTTACCATGGACAGTAGTATAGACATTGCCCTGAAAAATCAGGATGCTTGGTAGAAGTTGCCCTGAGATATCAGGGCTTCCTGAAAAATGATTCCAACACCTGCCCTGAAGGCTCAGGATGCCTAAAATCCTAAGACAGGCCCTGATGGTAATGGTAATGGTAATTGTAATGATAATGGTAATGGTAGTTTTTTTTTTTTTTTTTTTTTTTTTTTCACTCAACACCGGTGATACAAGCGTATTCGAAATCATACGTCAATCGTTACTGAGCATGACAGGCCGAAACAACGGTAACGACCTCAGGGGCAGCGTCTAAGGCAGATGCAGAGCTCCCCGCGAAGATTCCACATTGCGCCGAAATTCCGGGTCCACTTCCAACCCTTCTCTTCCATGCATCGGATGCGTCCAAGCAAACAGTCCTCCTGTCCCGCCAGCGCATAGGCCTTCCCGTGTCGTTTCGAACCACCGCCCCTCTCCAGCGTTTTCCCCATTGCCCGGGTGTACATCTTCATATGCAGCTGAAAAGCTGCCTCGATACGCCTGAGGACGCGCCGAGCCCGAAATTTCTTCTCACGAAATACGCACTCGCATCTTTCTGTCCCGATGTGGTGCACCGCAATGGCAGCCAGCAAGACTTTTGGAACGGCTGAGGTGGACGCAGCCTTGCTAAACAGTAATTTAATCCCAAATTTCTGGAAAATGACCATGTTGCGGCGGTCTGAGCGCAACGGCGCATGTGCGCCTCGGGAGGTGATTGGGAAGTGGTGTGTGTAGGGTGGGGGTGCAAATGTGTGAATGCTGGATCTAGTAAATTCGAAATAAGAATGTACTAGCCGCATGCCCGTATTTGTGCATGCGATTGCAATAGCGAATCTGTTACTGTCCGCGTGTTTGGCACCCCACCTCCCTCCTTCCCTCATTCCGCCTCCTCCCTCCCGCCACTACTTCCCACTCCACCCATCGCGTGTGCGCACACTGCAGCAACGCGCGCGGCGAGCGTTGATTCCGCCGTCCTCTCCGTGGATGAATTACGCCGCCCGCTGTTTTCTCCGCAATGACCTGCCCGCATCAGTTCTTCCCCTCGCCCGCCTCTCCCTGCGGTGACCTGCCCGCGTCAGTTCTTCCCCTCGTCTGCTCTCCGTCCCACTCTCGCCGATCGCCAGCATGCCTCGCGCACATCGTCGCAGCCCTCTCGCCGTCGCACGCCAATTCGTCGCACAGCTGTCGCCAATGCGCACAGCAGCGTCGCCCCAGGCAGCGCGCGCACGCCCGCGCCGTTTGAGCTCACCGCGCCCCGGCCTCCTGCGCCCTCGCCCCCTGGCTGTTCCTCCCGAGCAATCCTTCCGCAACAGGGCGTTTCCCACGCTCAGGGGCGCAACATGCGGGAATTCTTTCCGCCGCAGGCTCCCGACACATGCTGGCGCGGCGCTTTCCGCCGCTGCGGCGGCTGTAGCAGCCGCGGTATTGGCGGGGGAAGGATCAGCGGCTGTAGCAGCCGCGGTATTGGCGGGGGAAGGATCAGCGGCTGTAGCAGCCGCGGTATTGGCGGGGGAAGGATCAGCGGCTGTAGCAGCTGCGGTATTGGCGGGGGAATGGCGGAAGTGACGAGGGGACCCGGAGAACAGGGGCTAGTGCGCGGAAGATGGTAGAAGAGGAGGACGCGATGAGTGCGGAGAGGGGGGAGGCGTGGGAGAAAGTGGAGAACGAGGTATTGGCAGAGTGCAGGGCAGAGGTGAGCGCGCCCTTCCATTCCATCCCCTCCCCCTTCCCCCCCGCTCCCCCCCTCACTTGCGCGCGCGTGAGCAGTGGGCGGAAGCGACGGTGATCTGGCATCCGCTGACGGCGGGCGAGGCGGGCGCGCTCAAGGCGCTGGTGGCGGCGGACGGGGAGTACCGCGTGCGCCTTGCGCCCAACCCCTTCTCCGCCGCTCCCCCGCCCCAGGGGCACGTCATCGCATGGGGACGCGCGGTGAGTCGTGGTGGGACAGTGAGGCATGGGGGGCGGCTCGGGGAAGCTTTGGGGATTTGCATGGGGAAACGATGGGGGGGCGCGCGGGGAGGCATGGGTGCAGTGGGGCATTGGGGGAAACGGGGGGGGGGGGGGGGGGGGAACGGCGTCATTGCCACTGCTACCCCCCTTGCTCTTCATTCATGTGCTCTCCTCCATGCTCACTGCTTCACTGCGTGCCACTCCAGTTCATTGTTTAACATCCCCGCCGTCTCATTCCGTACCCCCCTTCCTGCCACCCTTGCCATCCCCTCTCATCCCTTGCCTTTCCTGCCACCCTTGCCATCCCCTCTCATCCCTTTCACCCCGCTCACCCCTCTCACCCCGCTCACCCCTCTCATTCCCTGCGTCCGCCTCTCAGCGCTGCCTGGCGGCAGCTGGCTTCCGCGACTCACTGCACCTCCTCTTTGTGAGACCCGCTCCCTTACTCCTAATTTTGATTCCACTTGCATGCCATTGCTTGCTCACCAGCTGTCATTCCTATCCACGGCTCGCAGTGTGCGCACTGTTCTTGTCCTTCCCATGAATCATGCCCCTATTTGTACACACAATATGCAAGCCACCATCATGCCTTCATGCCACATGTCATCGTGCCAGCATGCCCTCGTGTCTTCATGCCCAGCCTTTCACCTGACACTCACATTCGCATATCTCTAACCTCCCACGTGCTGTTATCTCCGCATGGCATGTGCAGGATGCGGGCGGCAGGCTAATATCGTCTACGTGAAAGTATGAGTTACCCAGCCTTTCACCTCTCCATTCTCCTTTCACTCGCATTCCCCATTCCCTGTGATCGGTGCTACCCCCCCTCATGGCATGTGCAGGACGCGGGTGGCAGGCTGATATCGGCCCACGTGAAAGCACAAGCTGACTGCTCTCCAGCCGCCACTGCTGCTCTCGATGTCGATGTGAGAGTTTATCCAGCTGCTGCTGCTCTCCAGCCGCCACGTGTTGTCCTCTCCCCCTTTCGTCTAACTCCCTTGTCGGCTCCCCACTTGTCGTTTACCCTCTTGCGGACTCTAGAGTCCATGTTGATGTGGATCTATCCATCCCATCCCATCCCATCCCATCCCATCCCATCCCATCCCATCCCATCCCATCCCATCCCATCCCATCCCATCCTGCTCCTTACCATGCACCACCTACAGGCGGTGATGGCGGTGCCTCTCATTGTTCTCAACTCTGACGTCACCATCCATGCCAGCACCATCGCCCAACGGTGCGCCCATGCCCATGCATCCATACGTCCGTGCTCCAATGCATCCATGCATCCATGTCCCCATGCTCCCATTCTTCCATCAGCATACGTCAGCTGTACCTGCACCATTGCGGATGGGTCCATGATAACAGCATGCCTCTCATCCATGCAAACAGCATGCCTCTCATCCATGCAAACAGCATGCACGCATGCCTCTCAACGTGCAGTGCTCCACTTTAACGTCTCCATCCATCCATGCCAGCACCATTGCCTAACAGTGCACCCTTTGCCCCATGCATGCGTGCACGCATACCCCCACCATGTCATTGCATCCATGCCTGCATCATTGCTCCATGGGTACATCCATGTCTGCATCATTGCTCCATGGGTACATCCATGGATGCATGCATGCACGCATACCCCCACCAATAAACACCTCCAACCTCATTCCTCTCTTTCGCTCTTCCCTCCCCGTCCCCTCCTCCTGTCCCTTCCTGCCCATCGGCAGCCTGTCTGTGCGCAGAGCCCCAGTGGGGGGAGCGGCGGTGGGGGCGGGGGGAGCAGCAGGGGGAGGCGTGGGGGGCGAGGAGGACCCCATGGCGCCCCCAGTGCCGCCCAAGACGTTCTGGCAGAAATATGTGAGGCGCAGGGGGGTGGGGTGCGGTGAGGTGGGGTTGGGATGGGTGGGTGGGGTTGCAATGGGTGTGATAGGACCATGGCACTTGACAACCCATGGCTTCCTCAGTGCCGCCCAAGGCGTTCTGGCAGAAATGTGTGAGGCATTGGCCCCCCTTGCTTTCAATATTCCCCACCCATCCCCCCTTCTCCTTGCCCGTGCTCAACGTCTTCATGGCCCTCGCTAGTGGACTCAACCCTGCTACTTCATGCCTCTTCTGCTTTCCCCCAACCCCGCACTTCCCCTCTGTAACCATAACCCCCCGGGCATCTGCCAGTGGGTGTTCATCATGGCGGGGGGTCCCCTCGTGCTCAACGTCTTCACGGCTCTCGCTGGTCACTCACCTTGCTTGCAATATTCCCCACCCATCCCCCCTTCTCCTTGTGCCCATAATCCCTGTCTCCCTTCCCCCTCCCCACCCCCACCCCCTCACCCCCCTGGGCATATGCCAGTGGGTGTTCATCATGGCGGGAGGCTTGCTCGTTCTCAACGTCTTCACTGCCCTCGCTAGTGGCTCACTTAAAACTGCTGCTTCATGTCTCTTCTGCTCTCCCCCCCCTGTCCCTGACCACAGTGGGTGTTCATCATGGCGGGGGGTCTGCTTGTGCTCAACGTCTTCACGGCCCTCGCTGGCCCCGATGCTCCCCCCGCTGCTCAAGGGGGAGGTGCTGGGGGAGGGGGAGCAGCACGGCGTGGGGGAGGGGGAGGGGGAGGAGGAGGGGGTGGAAGACGGCCGTAGGCCGGTATTGGGAGGAACAATCAAGGCCGAGGGGTGCGCAGCTGCAGTCTTGCTTAGGGGAGCCCCACCCCACCCCCACTCTCCCATGTTGGGAGGTATGCTGTTGAGGGATTCACTCTCTTGCCTCTCGGGGTCAGGCCGTAGAGAGCACTAATGAGCGCAGTATGGTAGTCAAGGGGGGACCTTTGAGAGCCGTTGGACAAAATGTAGACAGTAGTATCGAGTGATGTGTTGCAAAGGCGACAAACCTGGGTAGTTTCAAGGGTGCTTTCTTGTGACTACACTACCTGCCGCTTTGTCAATTGTATCTGTTTCAATCTGCATATCCTATCAGGAACTGTACCCTAGCACCTGTAAGTTATGATGAACTGCAACAGCGTATCTACAGTAGGACCTGTACATTATGAAATAATGTACTGAATTTGAAAGGTCCCCCTATACTGTAATGTTAGAGGTCCTTCATCCTGTTTATCTGCAACACTGCACCATATGCTTCCCGGGTGCATGTTAGGCTACCTATTTTTAATCGTCCATGCTGAGACCTAGTTGTCTAATTGATAACGTCACCAGGTCTATCACTATTTAGGCAATTATATAGATCTAGAATCATTCGGGCGGTAATAGAGTGCGCCACGGTCTTGGGTCTTCTGGGCCCCTCTTGGCCACTAGGGGGGTTAACCCCTAGTGTTACACCCACACACCGCGTTGAGGTGGGGACCCTTCGTGTGGGACCGCAGCCCCTAAACGACACGAGCCGGGCTGCAGCGTCCCACAAGCCCAACTCAGACCAGGTGGCGTAACACCTGGCCAGGCGAAGGCGGGGTGAGGAGGCCATCAGAGTTCAGGGAGCGTCCCCCCATCCCTCGTCAGAACACTCAACTCACACACAGGGGCGCTTCAGGCGCGGGAGGCGTCCGTCCCAACGCCGTCAGCAACCCCTGCCGCACAACACCTATGCCGCAGTCGGAGGCGGTCTTGGGTCTTGGACCCTGCCAGCTGCAGAGCGACACACACCACAAGACAAACACAACACACGATCAAGTGAAAAAGGCACGACAAATACATGTAATGCGAAAAACTGAAAGAAAGCAATGCGGAAACGGACAAGGGAAGAAGGTTACCTCGCTGCAGCGATGAAGCAGCACCTCACCTCCGTCCGTGCCGCCCGCCGTGTCGTCTCCGCGCTGCCCGCCATGCTGAAGGGAATGGAAAGGGGGGGATTATGCATAGGGACGCCTCTTGCTGCCCCCCACGCGCTGCCCCCTCGCCCTCCTCGCCCCACGAGTCGACTTGAAGGGAATGGAAGGTGGGGGGGGTAGAGAGACAAACAGGAAAAAAAGGATCAAGTGAAACAGGCACGACAAATACATGTAATGCGAAAAACTGAAAGAAAGCAATGCGGAAACGGACAAGGGAAGAAGGTTACCTCGCTGCAGCGATGAAGCAGCACCTCACCTCCGTCCGTGCCGGCCGCCGTGTCGTCTCCGCGCTGCCCGCCATGCTGAAGGGAATGGAAGGGGGGGATTATGCATAGGGACGCCTCTTGCTGCCCCCCGCGCGCTGCCCCCTCGCCCTCCTCGCCCCACGAGTCGACTTGAAGGGAATGGAAGGTGGGGTGGGTAGAGAGACAAACAGGAAAAAAAGGATCAAGTGAAACAGGCACGACAAATACATGTAATGCGAAAAACTGAAAGAAAGCAATGCGGAAACGGACAAGGGAAGAAGGTTACCTCGCTGCAGCGATGAAGCAGCACCTCACCTCCGTCCGTGCCGGCCGCCGTGTCGTCTCCGCGCTGCCCGCCATGCTGAAGGGAATGGAAGGGGGGGATTATGCATAGGGACGCCTCTTGCTGCCCCCCGCGCGCTGCCCCCTCGCCCTCCTCGCCCCACGAGTCGACTTGAAGGGAATGGAAGGTGGGGGGGGTAGAGAGACAAACAGGAAAAAAAGGATCAAGTGAAACAGGCACGACAAATACATGTAATGCGAAAAAACTGAAAGAAAGCAATGCGGAAACGGACAAGGGAAGAAGGTTACCTCGCTGCAGCGATGAAGCAGCACCTCACCTCCGTCCGTGCCGCCCGCCGTGTCGTCTCCGCGCTGCCCGCCATGCTGAAGGGAATGGAAGGGGGGGATTATGCATAGGGACGCCTCTTGCTGCCCCCCGCGCGCTGCCCCCTCGCCCTCCTCGCCCTCCTCGCTCCACGTGAAGCCCTGAAGGGAAGTCCCTGTAGTTAGAGTCCCTGCACTTAATGTCCCTGTAGTTAGAGTCCCTGCACTTAATGTCCCTGTAGTTAGAGTCCCTGCACTTAACGTCCCTGTAGTTAGAGTCCCTGCACTTAATGTCCCTGTAGTTAGAGTCCCTGCACTTAATGTCCCTGTAGTTAGAGTCCCTGCACTTAATGTCCCTGTAGTTAGAGCCCCTGCACTTAATGTCCCTGTAGTTAGAGCCCCCTCACTTAATGTCCCTGTAGTTAGAGTCCCCTCACTTAATGTCCCTGTAGTTAGAGTCCCTGCACTTAATGTCCCTGTAGTTAGAGTCCCTGCACTTAACGTCCCTGTAGTTAGAGTCCCTGCACTTAATGTCCCTGTAGTTAGAGTCCCTGCACATAATGTCCCTGTAGTTAGAGTCCCCGCACTTAATGTCCCTGTAGTTAGAGTCCCTGCACTTAATGTCCCTGTAGTTAGAGTCCCTGCACTTAATGTCCCTGTAGTTAGAGTCCCTGCACTTAATGTCCCTGTAGTTAGAGTCCCCTCACTTAATGTCCCTGTAGTTAGAGTCCCTGCACTTAATGTCCCTGTAGTTAGAGTCCCTGCACTTAACGTCCCTGTAGTTAGAGTCCCTGCACTTAATGTCCCTGTAGCTAGAGTCCCTGCACTTAATGTCCCTGTAGTTAGAGTCCCGGCACTTAATGTCCCTGTAGTTAGAGTCCCTGCACTTAATGTCCCTGTAGTTAGAGTCCCTGCACTTAATGTCCCTGTAGTTAGAGTCCCTACACTTAATGTCCCTGTAGTTAGAGTTCCTGCAGTTAGCGTCCCTGTATCTAGGGTCCCTCCAGTTAGCGTCCCTGTATCTAGGGTCCCTGCAGTTAGCGTCCCTGTATCTAGGGTCCCTGCAGTTAGCGTCCCTGTATCTAGGGTCCCTGCAGTTAGCGTCCCTGTATCTCGGGTCCCTGCAGTTAGCGTCCCTGTAGTTAGTGTGTCATGGTCCCTGGAATCCAGTATACCACAACGCATGTGCTAACACCCCAGATTACCACATCATGAGAAGGATCATAGGAAGTACTGCCAAAGGAAATACTGCCATAATAATGGCAGGAAAGGAATATGGCCGTGATAATGGCTATATTCCTTGGCAACACATTGATGAGCGCCCAGGTCTCCCACCCTCTGAGTGGGAAACCTGGGCGGGTAGAATTTACTGAAGGGTGGGAAACCTGGGCGCCCAGGTTTCCCACCCTCTGCATTTTAGCCCCCCTTTTTTATCACCCTTTCTGCTCCCTCTGCTTCAGTTATTCCCATCTGCTTCGTTACTTCCTGCTTCAGCTAACCTCCTGTGCACACCTAACCCCCTCTTCTTCGCTGCTTCCCCTGCTTCAGCTAACCCCCTCTGCTTCAGCTGGCCTGGCCTTCTCTGCTTCATAAGCAATTATGAAGCGTGCCAGGGTCTTGGGTCTTTTGGGCCCCTCTTGGCCACTAGGGGGGTTAACCCCTAGTGTTACACCCACACACCACGCTGAGGTGGGGACCCTTCGTGTGGGACCTGCATGGGAACAACGGGGGGATAGTTAACAAAACGAAAACGGACAGCAGCGGCTTGCCGAATACCCACCACCGTAGCTACCGTCCACGTTCGCAGCCCCGCAACACAAGCAGCTACCCCCTCTGCTTCGCTGCACCCTATGCTCCCTCTGCCGTAGCTGTCGTCCACGTTCGCAGCCCCGCAACACAAGCAGGGCTGAGGCGTCTCACAAGCCATGCTCAGACCAGGTGGTGTAACACCTGGCCCAACGGCCGAAAAAGAAGGGTAGTTCCCAAAGGGGAACCCGTAGTTAGCTTGCGTTGGTACACACGCACTGTACTTAACCCTGTAGTTAGCATCCCTGTAATTAGAGTGTCTTGAACACACGCCCTGTAGTTAGTGTCCCTGTGGTTAGCATGCCTTGGTATACAAGCCCTGTACTGAGCGACCATGTAGTTAGCGTTTCTATGTCCCTGTAATTATCGTCCCTGCACTTAACGTCCCTGCAGTTGCTGTCCCTGCAGTTGCTGTCCCTGTAGTTAGTGTGCCTTGGTGCACGAGCCCTGAGTGGGAGACCTGGGCGGGTAGAACATATTGAAGTTAGCGTCCCTGCAGTTAGCGTCCCTGTATCTAGTGTCCCTGCAGTTAGCGTCCCTGTATCTAGTGTCCCTGCAGTTAGCGCCCCTGTATCTAGTGTCCCTCCAGTTAGTGTCCCTATAGTTAGCGTCCCTGCAGCTGCTGTCCCTGAAATCCAGTATAGCCCATGTAACCGGTTCAGCTCTAGCGAATGTGGTCTTCATCCTCCAGCCTTGACTGCCACAGGGAACAGCTTCGGTTGTCCAGGGAAGAAGGCACAACGCATGTGCTAACACCCCAGTACTGCTGCCAAGCTGTTTCTACGCCCACAGATTATCACATCATGAGAAGCATCATCCGAGTAGTTCCCTAAGGGGAATAGAAAGAGAGTAATTTTCAAAGGAAATACTGCCATTATAATGGCTAGAAAGGGATATAGCCGTGACAATGGCTATATTCCTCGGGAACACATTGATAGGCGCCCAGGTCTCCCACCCTCTGAGTGGGAAACCTGGGCGGGTAAAACATATTGAAGTTAGCGTCTCTGCAGTTAGCGTCCTTGTATCTAGTGTCCCTGCAGTAATCGTCCCTGTATCTAGTGTCCCTGCAGTTAGTGTCCCTATAGTTAGCGTCCCTGCAGTTGCTGTCCCTGAAATCCAGTATAGCCCATGTAACCGGTTCAGCTCTAGCGAATGTGGTCTTCATCCTCCTGCCTTGACTGCCACAGGGAACTGCTTCGGTTGTCCAGGGAAGAAGGCACAACGCATGTGCTAACACCCCAGTACTGCTGCCAAGCTGTTTCTACGCCCACAGATTATCACATCATGAGAAGCATCATCCGAGTAGTTCCCAAGGGGAATAGAAAGAGAGTAATTTTCAAAGGAAATACTGCCATTATAATGGCTAGAAAGGGATATAGCCGTGACAATGGCTATATTCCTCGGGAACACATTGATAGGCGCCCAGGTCTCCCACCCTCTGAGTGGGAAACCTGGGCGGGTAAAACATATTGAAGTTAGCGTCTCTGCAGTTAGCGTCCTTGTATCTAGTGTCCCTGCAGTTATCGTCTCTGTATCTAGTGTCCCTGCAGTTAGTGTCCCTATAGTTAGCGTCCCTGCAGTTGCTGTCCCTGAAATCCAGTATAGCCCATGTAACCGGTTCAGCTCTAGCGAATGTGGTCTTCATCCTCCTGCCTTGACTGCCACAGGGAACAGCTTCGGTTGTCCAGGGAAGAAGGCACAACGCATGTGCTAACACCCCAGTACTGCTGCCAAGCTGTTTCTACGCCCACAGATTACCACATCATGAGAAGCATCATCAGAGTAGTTCCCTAAGGGGAATAGAAAGAGAGTAATTTTCAAAGGAAATACTGCCATTATAATGGCTAGAAAGGGATATAGCCGTGATAATGGCTATATTCCTCGGAAACACATTGATAGGCGCCCAGGTCTCCCACCCTCTGAGTGGGAAACCTGGGCGGGTAAAACATATTGAAGTTAGCGTCTCTGCAGTTAGCGTCCTTGTATCTAGTGTCCCTGCAGTTAGCGTCCTTGTATCTAGTGTCCCTGCAGTTAGTGTCCCTACAGTTAGCGTCCCTGCAGTTGCTGTCCCTGAAATCCAGTATAGCCCATGTAACCGGTTCAGCTCTAGCGAATGTGGTCTTCATCCTCCTGCCTTGACTGCCACAGGGAACTGCTTCGGTTGTCCAGGGAAGAAGGCACAACGCATGTGCTAACACCCCAGTACTGCTGCCAAGCTGTTTCTACGCCCACAGATTATCACATCATGAGAAGCATCATCCGAGTAGTTCCCAAGGGGAATAGAAAGAGAGTAATTTTCAAAGGAAATACTGCCATTATAATGGCTAGAAAGGGATATAGCCGTGACAATGGCTATATTCCTCGGGAACACATTGATAGGCGCCCAGGTCTCCCACCCTCTGAGTGGGAAACCTGGGCGGGTAAAACATATTGAAGTTAGCGTCTCTGCAGTTAGCGTCCTTGTATCTAGTGTCCCTGCAGTTATCGTCTCTGTATCTAGTGTCCCTGCAGTTAGTGTCCCTATAGTTAGCGTCCCTGCAGTTGCTGTCCCTGAAATCCAGTATAGCCCATGTAACCGGTTCAGCTCTAGCGAATGTGGTCTTCATCCTCCTGCCTTGACTGCCACAGGGAACAGCTTCGGTTGTCCAGGGAAGAAGGCACAACGCATGTGCTAACACCCCAGTACTGCTGCCAAGCTGTTTCTACGCCCACAGATTACCACATCATGAGAAGCATCATCAGAGTAGTTCCCTAAGGGGAATAGAAAGAGAGTAATTTTCAAAGGAAATACTGCCATTATAATGGCTAGAAAGGGATATAGCCGTGATAATGGCTATATTCCTCGGAAACACATTGATAGGCGCCCAGGTCTCCCACCCTCTGAGTGTGAAACCTGGGCGGGTAAAACATATTGAAGTTAGCGTCTCTGCAGTTAGCGTCCTTGTATCTAGTGTCCCTGCAGTTAGCGTCCTTGTATCTAGTGTCCCTGCAGTTAGTGTCCCTATAGTTAGCGTCCCTGCAGTTGCTGTCCCTGAAATCCAGTATAGCCCATGTAACCGGTTCAGCTCTAGCGAATGTGGTCTTCATCCTCCTGCCTTGACTGCCACAGGGAACAGCTTCGGTTGTCCAGGGAAGAAGGCACAACGCATGTGCTAACACCCCAGTACTGCTGCCAAGCTGTTTCTACGCCCATAGATTATCACATCATGAGAAGCATCATCCGAGTAGTTCCCTAAGGGGAATAGAAAGAGAGTAATTTTCAAAGGAAATACTGCCATTATAATGGCTAGAAAGGGATATAGCCGTGACAATGGCTATATTCCTCGGGAACACATTGATAGGCGCCCAGGTCTCCCACCCTCTGAGTGGGAAACCTGGGCGGGTAAAACATATTGAAGTTAGCGTCTCTGCAGTTAGCGTCCTTGTATCTAGTGTCCCTGCAGTTATCGTCCCTGTATCTAGTGTCCCTGCAGTTAGTGTCCCTATAGTTAGCGTCCCTGCAGTTGCTGTCCCTGAAATCCAGTATAGCCCATGTAACCGGTTCAGCTCTAGCGAATGTGGTCTTCATCCTCCTGCCTTGACTGCCACAGGGAGCAGCTTCGGTTGTCCAGGGAAGAAGGCACAATGCATGTGCTAACACCCCAGTACTGCTGCCAAGCTGTTTCTACGCCCACAGATTACCACATCGTGAGAAGCATCATCAGAGTAGTTCCCAAGGGGAATAGAAAGAGAGTAATTGTCAAAGGAAATACTGCCATTATAATGGCTAGAAAGGGATATTGCCGTGATAATGGCTATATTCCTCGGGAACACATTGATAGGCGCCCAGGTCTCCCACCCTCTGAGTGGGAAACCTGGGCGGGTAGAACATATTGAAGTTAGCGTCCCTGCAGTTAGCGTCCTTGTATCTAGTGTCCCTGCAGTTAGCCTCCCTGTATCTAGTGTCCCTGCAGTTAGTGTCCCTATAGTTGGCGTCCCTGCAGTTGCTGTCCCTGAAATCCAGTATAGCCCATGTAACCGGTTCAGCTCTAGCGAATGTGGTCTTCATCCTCCTGCCTTGACTGCCACAGGGAACAGCTTCGGTTGTCCAGGGAAGAAGGCACAACGCATGTGCTAACACCCCTGTACTGCTGCCAAGCTGTTTCTACGCCCACAGATTACCACATCATGAGAAGCATCATCAGAGTAGTTCCCTAAGGGGAATAGAAAGAGAGTATTTTTTAAAGGAAATACTGCCATTATAATGGCTAGAAAGGGATATAGCCGTGATAATGGCCATATTCCTCGGGAAAACAATGATAGGCGCCCAGGTCTCCCACCCTCTGAGTGGGAAACCTGGGCGGTTAGAACATATTGAAGGGTGGGGAACCTGGGCGCTCAGGTTTCTCACCCTCTGCTTTTTAGCCCCCATTTTATCTCCCCTTCTGTTCCCTCTGCTTCAGCTAACCCCCTCTGCTTCGCTGTCCCCTCTGCTGCTGCTTCCTCTGCTTCAGCTAACCCCCTCTGCTTCTGCTCCACAAGCCAAGGAGAGAGGAACAGAATTCGATTATGAGAAGCCTGGGAGAGGAGGATTCTATGATGGCTCGGATCTCACCAGATTTTTTATGGCGCAGCAAGGAATGCCAGGTGGGCTCCACTCACCTCCACGCTCCTTCATCTGCTTGCCATCCTCTGCTCGCCTCCTCTTCTACCCACGTCTTCTCCCCTTCCCTGCTCCCCTCCTCCGCTCCCCTCCTCTGCTCCCCTCCTACTCTCCCCACCTCTGCTCCGACCTGCCATGAGCCAAGGAGGACGAAGAGCAAGGAGGAAAAGGATTGAATGACATGGTCTCATGTGGAACAGGAAAGCAGGACTGGTCAGGCTGGGCACAGAGAGGAATGCCACGTGGGCTCGACTCACCTCCACATCGCTTTCTCTGCTGCCCTCCTCTGCTAGCTCTCCTCTGCTAGCCCTCCTCTGCTAGCTCTCCTCTGCTAGCCCTCCTCTGCTAGCTCTCCTCTGCTAGCCCTCCTCTGCTAGCTCTCCTCTGCTAGCCCTCCTCTGCTAGCTCTCCTCTGCTAGCCCTCGTCAGCTAGCCCGCCTCTGCTTGCCCTCCTCTGCTTGCCCTCCCCTGCTCCGACCTGCCATGAGCCAAAGAGAACGAAGAGCAAGGAGGAAAAGGATTGAATGACATGGTCTCATGTGGAACAGGAAAGCAGGGCTGGTCAGGCAGGGCACAGAGAGGAATGTCACGTGGGCTCGTCATGTCTACTCTCTCTTCTCCCCTCCACTGCTCCCCTGCTGCTGCTCGCCTCTGCCTCTGCTTCCGCGACATGCTCCCCTCCTCCCCCACTTCCATACTTCCTCTGCCCCTCAACCTGCCACAACCCAAAGGAAAGAAAAAGGATATTGCCAGAGATTTTGCAAGTGCGAATGTCAAACAGGAAACTGATCAGGCTGGGCACAGAGAGGAATGTCAGGAGTGACTGGGTCGACTCACCTCCACACCCCTTTCTTTGCTCCACTCCCTCGCCCCTCCACTGTTCCCCAGCTGCCGCTCGCCTCTGCTGCTGCTGGTGTGGGGAGGGCAGGCACACTCCGCCTTGCTGCTGCTGGTGTGGGGAGGGCAGGCACACTCCACCTCACGAGCACAAGAGCCTGTGGGAGCAGATGGATGGGACGGGTGGACAGGAGAGATGAGGGGTGAGTGAGCGAAAGGATCGAGCATGCATTGTAAGGGCACAAAGGGTCAAGGCAGTAACGGTCAAGCAGTACTGGTGAAGGCAGCAACGGCAAAGGCAGCAAGGGTGAAGGCGGACAGACAAGTCAAGAAGGAGCGAGGCAAGTTTGGCAAGGTAGGTAAGGCAAGGTAGGAAGGCCGGGAAGCAACTCACGAGTTTGGGAGAGGGAAGCCCAGAGGCTACTCTCTGCCGTCCCCAGGTGCAGCAGCCTCCTCTCTGCCGTCTGCCTCAGCCTCCTTGCCATAGCAGGGTGTCACGTTTCATGGCAGTGCTCTCAGCAGCCCAAGAAAGAAACCACCTCTTGCCTCCTTGCCTCCTTGCCTCCTTGCCACCATGCCTCCTTGCCTCCTTGCCACCATGTCGCCTTGCCTCCTTGCCACCATGTCTCCTTGCCTCCTCCTTCCTCATTGCTTCTTCTTTTAGCAGCAAGTGAAACAACAGATGCCTATGCTCCCTGCTGAGACAAGAAAAGGTCGGGGGGAGGAAGGGGAGAGGAACGAAGGAAGATGGGCAGAAGATAATGAAACACTGCAGAGACAAGACAAGGACGAGGCAAGCTTGGTAGAGAAGATGAAGAGCAGTGGAGGGCAACTCACCAGGTGGCCCAAGCATGGCGTGGCTCTCTCCTTGCCGCCACACTCCCCCTGCTGCCGCAGCGCCACTCAGAGACGCCACGGTCGGTCGCGCTGGTGCTGCCGGGAGGTTGGGCGAGCGCAGTGGTCAGCAGGGCCAGCCCAGGCCGTGCGTCATCCCACCACTCGCCTCTCCCGCTCGCCACGCTGCTCCCACTGCTTCTCCATGCCTTCTGCTGCTGCCGCCCTGTAGGTGTGCTGGCAGAGGGGTGTAGGCAGAGGGAAGCTGGCAGGAGGAGAGGCGAAGAGGGGAACAAGTCCACGGAGAAGAGAAGGGAGGTGAGAGGGAAGGCGATTAGAACGGCGTTAGCAAATCAGAGAACAGAAAAACGGAAAGCATGCAAGCAAGGAAAAACGGAAGGACGCAAGCAGTGAGAGTGCGTGAGTGGCGTGAGTGGCGGTGGCAGCGGCGGCGGCGGCGGCAGCTGCAGGGCGGGCACCAAGGACAGTACCGTACCTTAGCACACCTGACGTCACCACTTACGCTGGCAGTCGCCTGCTGTCACACACCTGGGGAGGGTCCCTTGGTGCCGCCCGTGAGAGCGGCGAGAGGAGGAGGAGGGAGCGAGCGCAAGCAAGCAGCGCAAGGCACGAGTGCGAGCGAGTGAGTGAGTGGTGCGTGCACAGTGCGAATTGAGTGAGATAGCTTGGCCGGACTGAAGAGGGTCGAAGGAGCATGCAGGCGTGCTCCCCTTGCATGCGTGCAGCACCCACACGGCCGTGCGCCTCTCCTTGCCGCCACACTCCCCCTGCTGCCGCAGCGCCACTCAGAGACGCCACGGTCGGTCGCGCTGGTGCTGCCGGGAGGTTGGGCGAGCGCAGTGGTCAGCAGGGCCAGCCCAGGCGTGCGTCATCCCACCACTCGCCTCTCCCGCTCGCCACGCTGCTCCCACTGCTCCTCCAAGCCTTCTGCTGCTGCCGCCCTGTAGGTGTGCTGGCAGAGGGGTGTAGGCAGAGGGAAGCTGGCAGGAGGAGAGGAGAAGAGGGGAACAAGTGCACGGAGCAGAGAAGGGAGGTGAGAGGGAAGGCGATTAGCATGGCGTTAGCAAGTCAGAGAACAGAAAAACGGAAAGCAAGCGAGCAAGGAAAAACGAAGAATGCAAGCAGTGAGGGTGCGTGAGTGGCGTGAGTGGCGATGGCAGCGGCGGTGGTGGTGGCAGCTGCAGGGCGGGCACCAAGGACAGTACCGTACCTTAGCACACCTGACGTTACCACTTACGCTGGCAGTCGCCTGCTGTCACACACCTGGGGAGGGTCCCTTGGTGCCGCCCGTGAGAGCGGCGAGAGGAGGAGGAGGGAGCGAGCGCAAGCAAGCAGAGAAAGGCACGAGTGCGAGCGAGCGAGTGGTGCGTGCACAGTGCGAATTGAGTGAGATGGCTTAGCCGGATAGAAGAGGATCGAAGGAGCATGCAGGCGTGCTCCCCTTGCTTGCGTGCAGCACCCACACGGCCATGCGCCTCTCCTTGCCGCCACACTCCCCCTGCTGCCGCAGCGCCACTCAGAGACGCCACGTTCGGTCGCGCTGGTGCTGCCGGGAGGTTGGGCGAGGGCAGTGGTCAGCAGGGCCAGCCCAGGCCGTGCGTCATCCCACCACTCGCCTCTCCCGCTCGCCACGCTGCTCCCACTGCTCCTCCATGCCTTCTGCTGCTGCCGCCCTGTAGGTGTGCTGGCAGAGGGGTGTAGGCAGAGGGAAGCTGGCAGGAGGAGAGGCGAAGAGGGGAACAAGTGCACGGAGCAGAGAAGGGAGGTGAGAGGGAAGGCGATTAGCATGGCGTTAGCAAGTCAGAGAACAGAAAAACGGAAAGCAAGCGAGCAAGGAAAAACGAAGAATGCAAGCAGTGAAGGTGCGTGAGTGGCGTGAGTGGCGGTGGCAGCGGCGGCGGCGGTGGCAGCTGCAGGGCGGGCACCAAGGACAGTACCGTACCTTAGCCCACCTGACGTTACCACTTACGCTGGCAGTCGCCTGCTGTCACACACCTGGGGAGGGTCCCTTGGTGCCGCCCGTGAGAGCGGCGAGAGGAGGAGGAGGAGGGAGCGAGTGCAAGCAAGCAGTGGAAGGCACGAGTGCGAGCGAGTGAGTGAGTGGTACGTGCACAACACAGTGCGAATTGAGTGAGATAGCTTAGCCGGATTGAAGATGGTCGAAGGAGCATGCAGGCGTGCTCCTCTTGCATGCGCACCCTGCGCTGCCTGCCCCGCGTGTGTGTGCCTCCTTGAGTCCGCTCTGCTCCCTGAGAGGAGGCGAGCAGTGGTCAGCAGGGCGGCCAGCAGCACTGGTGCCCACCGTGCGTCATCCCACTGCCGTCATCCCACTGTGTGATCCGCCCTCTGGTGGATCTGTACGAGGGGAGCGGCAAGACACAGACAGAGAGAGCACAAGACAGAGTGGCAGTGAGAGCAAGAACTAGAGGCAGAGAGCACAAACAAGCGGCAGTGAGCAAGAAACAAGTGGAAACAAGTGAAACCGGTCACAAGATTGAAGTGCGAGTGAACGGTGAGCACAGCACAAGTGAATGGGTGGAGAGGCGTGGGGGGGGGAAGGCGCATGGCACCATAGCAGCGAGCTGAGGCAGCGAGGGGGGACTGGGGGGACGCGCGCATGCATGGCATGAGTGCACTGCTATCCTAAGCCACGCCCACTAGACCCCCTGACTCTACATGAGATCAGCTGCAATCATGCGCCCTAACCCACCGCCACGTCTGCTCCTTGCTCGTCGCTCCGCTCCGTTTGCCATGCGTGCGCCGATTCCGCTCGTCGCCTCGCGCCGATTCCGCTCGTCGCGTCTCGCCGATTCCGCTCGTCGCGTCTCGCCGATTCCGCTCGTCGCGTCGCGCCGATTCCGTTCGTCGCGTCGCGCCGATTCCGCCAGTCGCGTCTCGCCGATTCCGCTGGTCGCGTCGTGCCGATTTCGTTCGTCGCGTCGCGCCGATTCCGCCCGTCGCGTCTCGCCGATTCCGCTGGTCCTATCTCGCCGATTTTGCTCGTCGCGTCTCGCCGATTCCGCTCCTTGCGTCTCGCCGTTTCCGCTTGTTTTGCCTCCCCGCTCGCCGATTCCGCTCGCCGTCAGCCGTCACCGTCAACCGGCAGCGTTGCTCGCCTCGTCGCCTCGCGTTACACGGCGTTTCAGCAGTCATTAGTCGCCGTTCAGCGTTCGCGTATCGTCGTTCAGCGTTCGACAGTCGCCGTTCTCCCCTCATTCAATGGCCGCGTTCGTCAACAGTCACCTGGCGTCGCCGTTTGTCGCTCAGTGTTCAGCAATGGCCGCGTTCGTCAACAGTCACCGCTCATCGTTCGTCACTGGCGTCGCCGTTCGTCGCTCAGCGTTCAGCAATGGCCGCGTTCGTCAACAGTCACCGCTCATCCCCCCGGCGTCGCTCGTCGTTCCGCTTGTCCGTCGTTGCTAGATGCTCGATTTTCGTCGCACATCGCCTTCCGCTCGATGCTCGGTAATTAAGTTCGCTTCTCGCCATTAGCTCAGCGCATTCAGCTCCCGATTTCCGCTCCCCGCTTTCAACGTTGCTGCTCGTCGCTTTTCCGATCGATGCTCGCCGTTTCCCCCGCTTCGCTCCGTTTTTCTTTCATCTCGCAGCTCGAAGCTCGACTGTCGCCGCTTGTCGCTCCGCGACAGGCTGTCGCAACTAGTAGCCGTTCTAGTTGACATGAAACGCTGTTGTTGAGGAGGATGAAACGAAAACGCCGTTGTTTGTGTGTTGCGAGCGCACTCCTATCCTCCCAAGACCGCTTCGACTGCTACTAGGAGCTCCAAGGTAAAAGTAAGATCTGAGCAGCAACACACTATCAAGTCTGAAACGTTTTCTTCGGCGACTCTAAAGGTGGAAATGAAACCGTCAAGTAGCCTTACTACTTTGAGCTTCCAGAAACTTTTCCGACCGTCAAGCTGCCTCTACAACACAAGCATCGTCAAATCCGTTGAGAAAACTGTCCGTCGCTATCTCTGATAATATCTGCTCGACAGGGAGAGTTGGAACGCTTCCTAGACGAGCGAACAGAACCGGACAAGCGGAGCTTCCAACAAAAGCGGACGAGCGTCACAAGAAGGTGATGACCCGTCGCTGATTCTGCCGACATCTCTGACTGTCCACTGCTCTCGCTGCAAAAAGAAGCCGTTCTTTGCTAACCCTAATAGTTCACTGAGAGATGTTGACGATTAAGGCTGAAGTAGTGGCGTAAGATCCGTAAGGATCACAGACGCTATTCAGAAAATACTGATACATGAGCCTCCAGGGTGAATCATCTAACCGTCGAGCTGTTTAAGCTGGATAACAGCTTAGCGGAACTCCAAGAGATGTCGAACTAAACTACCGTGAAAAACACTACGGAATCACTCCACGTACACGGGAGCCATAGCGAAAGTACGTAGATCATGGAATCCATGGCGGCCTGGAGCAGGAAGTTGGCATGATGAGAATGCGGGAGATAGCAAGTGGAAGGGCCTTGGGAATGTGGGATAGTCGCTTGGTCTCGGTAGGGAGAGGTGCCTCTGATTCTGGGTGGATGTGGATGGAGGTGGTGCTGGCTGGAGTGGAGGGTGACCAGAGTCAACCCCATGGGGACAGACGCAGGTGCCTGATTCTGGCTGGGTGTGAGGTTGGCTTGAGTTGAGGGTGACCAGACCAGAGTCAACCCAAAGTGGTGTCAGTCAGTGGTTTGGGTTCGTGGGATGGGAAGGATTGCGCCAGGCGCCGCGCTGGCGACAGAATGCGGCGGTGGGGAGAGGAGGGTTAGGGGGTGTCGGAAGTGAAACATTGACATCCGCTGACATCCGTTTGGGGATGTCGGTGCTTCGCAGCCCTCGGATCGAAGATGTTGACCGTCAAGATTTGCCGACATACGCAAACAGTTTGGCGAGGGCATGCGCATGTGAATGTGACATCAGCGCAGCGCGGAGTGCAGTGACTGGCCCGCGCGGCAGATGAATCTGCGCGCCGCGCCAAGTCTCAGTGTGGGAACTGGCGCAGTGACGTCAATATGATTCGCCCAAAGGTGGTGCTGAACACGGAATGTGAGTTTTGCGAATTTAATCATGGACTGTAGAAAAATCAATCAAACAGAAACTATATGTAATACAAACATGTACATCATTTCGTGAGCAATCGTTTAGGGTGGAGAGGGACAAGGGGTTTCATAAAAAACATCAACTGTTTTCAGGTATAAAGTTTCTCATTAGTTTTCTTTTGAAGATGTTTTATGTCGTCGAATACGTCTGGAAGCGGGGAACTGTATTTATTGCACAAATCCAATCATAGTTTTGTACAAATGGTATTTCATTCTATTGATTTTTAAAGTTTGCGAGGATGTGCATACAAGGCTGAGTTCTGCTGGCTCGCCAACAGAACGCATCCAATATCTTCCTGAATTGTCCGGGCCCACCCCACACGCATGTGCTCAGCCGTCCGATCAACATCACCAGGGGACGCCATTTCGACACCTGGAAATTCCGCCTGCACCAGGTATGCCCGCGGAAACTGGAGCACACTCTGGCACGCGCGGAAGAACCAGCTCGGCGCACACTTCCATGTGCGACCGTCGTGAATTCGCGAAATGACAACACCACCTTCGGGCGCAACCATTGTATGCACACCGCCCGGCATGCAACAAACCCGGACGGGGCTTACTGTAGTGGGCGTTCCCATTGGGGAGGAGGACTGGGAGGTGGGCGAGCAAGGCTGACGGAGCTGCAGGCGCCCATCCCATGGCTTCCTCTGCTCGATCATCCACGGATTGTCTCATTTGCTGGCGATCGCGGTGTCAGCGCGTCCGATTTATCTCACGCGGACGATGCCTCCGCGGCCAGGGGTAGTGGAGGCTTTCAAGGACTGGGACATGGGCCTTGAGGATTGTTTTGAGCAGCTGTTTCCACCCAGTACCTGGAATAGCGATGCGGGAAAGTCGCAGATGGCCCGCCTGCAGCTGCACCTTCCTGCCAGGCTGGGGGGATTCGGCATACGCTCTTCAGCTGACCTTAGTCCTTTGTCGTACGCATGTGGCTGGTGCCAGGTAGCGAGCGTTGTGGCTCGAATGGGGGTGGCAGGGGAGGAGCGGATGTTTGAGGAGTTTTTTCGCACGCCCGAGGCGACGACGTTGCTCGATCCCAGGTTCGCGAGAGCGCTGGAGCTGCTTCCACAGCCAGTCCGGCAGGAGATGCCGCCCCTTGCCTTGTGCACCGCTGACCCCCCACTGCTGCTTTTCCCTACGCAACACCGCCGCCTAGCGGTCGAGAGTCTGCAGTCTCTTCGAGGCATGGACCAAGACGATGCCACCTTGGCCCGTTTGACATCCCTTCAGGGTCTCGGGGCGGGGGCGTGGGTCTCTGCCGTTCCGTCGCATGACGAGGCTACCTTTACCGCAGCCGAGTGGAGCATCTGTGCTGCCATGCGCCTGGGCCTCCCTATCCAGCAGCTGATAGTCGCCGGCAAGTGCGCCTGTGGGGTCGAGTTTGTTGATCCTTCTGATCCCCATCATGCCCTCCGCTGCAAGCATCAATATGCACCTTCTCGTGTTCACGACGCAGTTAAGTTCGTGGTGGCGAAGATAGCTAAAGCGTCGGGTGGGGTTGTGACTATGGAGGATGACACGTTGCTGCCAGGGAAGAAGGTGGATATGTAAGAAGAATGAAACGAGAATGAATGAACTAGCAGCAAGATGGGTACAAGTACTAACCCTAATTGGGTTGTACCCCCTATGGGCTACCCCACTACAGCCTACACAACATAAACATGATAATAGTTTGACACACCCCCATAGGCAAAGTGGGGGAGAACAAGAGGTCACAAGACCAGTCAAGAAAAGCAAAGCAAGCTCTGGGTGGATCACAAAGTCACCACACACTCTGAGCACAAGCAAATGACCACAAGGCCAGTTCACATGCAGAGTTATATAATGGAGAACAGGCAGTACAGTGATCACAACCTAGCAAGTGTAAGCATGCAGGTATATGTATATAGATCACAGTACAAGCAAAGTCAAGAGGTGAGCAAGTGAGGCCAAGTAGGCACAAGGCCTAGAACAGTACAGAAACGCTGATGATCACAAGGCTGAAGTGCCTTGGTGAAGATATCAGCAGTGTTGGCCCGAGAGGCCACGTAAGCAAGACGAAGCTGACCACGCTGCTGCAACTCTCGAGCAAGGAAG